CCGCCCCCACCCTGTAACAGTCTATATTAGGGGTCATTCTCATGGCTATAAATAACTACAATATAAATACGTCCTATCTGTTACATAGTGGGGGCAGTACCCGAGTGGGGGCAGTACCCAAGCTATGGGGTGTTGTTTCTTGGCAATCTCGTCTCACCCACAGATGAACGAATCCAAACTGCACGCTGTATGGGGTGCTAGGCCCTAGGCCCTAAACCATACTATACTAATGCATGTTACAGTTGATTACATCAAAGTATCTTGTATTGTTCTACAATAACTGCTATACTATACTAGTATCTACAACATAAAACCACATAATTGGCAGGGCGTAGATTTACCTGCTTACCCCCAAACCTGAAAGCCTGACCCAATCGAACCAGTTCCTTCCTTCGAGAACTTCGGTGCAGAAAAAGGCCAGGATGCTTTAGGCTTTTTTGGACGCCCAAAGGGTCCCAGGTAGGGTTTAAGGTTTGGGTTTCGGGTTTAGGGGTCCCCAGGTATTGTTATGGGAGATACGTTCCCAAATCACAGTCGTAATTCCTACTATAGAAACCCCACACTCTGCTTGTAGAGGTACTTTTGACCCTTTGAGATTCATGTCCGAAAAACTGACCCCCCAACCCTGAACCCTAAACCGTAAACCCTAAACCCTAAACCCTAAACCATAAAACCTTAAAGCGAAGGCTGAAAGCTCAAACCGAAGAATCGAAGAGCTCAGTCATAAGATACTTGGCTTCAAGGTAGCAGATAGAGTTTAGGGCTTTAGATGGCTTTAGGCTTTAGGGTTCAGGGTAGTCTTGATCGTTGTTTTTGAAAGGTCATATGTATGTGTGTATATATATATACTATATGATATAATATATATATATAGTTAGTTATGGATGGGTATCTTTTAGAGACTTCTAGGTCTAAAGTTTAGGGCTTTCCAGGACTTGGTGTCTTTCTTGCGCACACGTCTCGCGGCGGCAGCCGTTGACTCGCAGGATCGGCGCAGATCAATCTGGCTGCTGGGCCACCGCAATCACTTGTTATTGTACACGGCTCTAGGAGCAAACCCTAAACCCTAAACCCTAAACCCTAAAAAATCTTCAAGTTAGAGACTCCAAGCCCAGAGCAACACGCTGCTTTTGTGGGCAAGAAACATTCAGAGTTAGGGTTTAGGGTTTAGGGTTTAGGGTTTAGGGTTTAGGGTTTTGTTTTAATCGCTGCTTAGCCTTGGACCTTTTCTTCGGGGCCTGGGTCAAGCAGTAACGGGTTTAGGGTTAGTTAAATCCATCCCAACAAAGGATGAACCTACTTTGCAGACGCAGCTTTGCGGGTTTAGGGTTTGTTTCGGGACTCCCACCAACATCTTCAAGCTCTTCACCTAAACCCTAAACCCAATGCCCTAAGGACCCTAAACCCTAAACCCTAAGGGCCCTAAACCCTAAACCCAAGGGCCCTAAACCCTACCCTAAAAGCCCTATACCCTAAACCCTAAGGGCCCTAAACCCTAAACCCTTATGGCCCTAAACCCTAAACCCTAAGGGCCCTAAGGGCCCAAGCCCTGAACCCCGAACCGGTGGCCCTGGAGGCCGGGCAGTAGCTAGGCCTGCTAGTGGGTATAGGGTTTAGGGTTTAGGGTTTAGGGTTTAGGGTTTAGGGTTTAGGTGCACAAAAGCTGCTACGCTTCCAGATGCTGCTCTTCGGGGTTCCCAAAGACTCAAAAACCCCTTAATCAAGGAATATACCTCAAATGAGAATAATGTAGGGCCGTAATGACTACAATAGGGTTTTGGGCTCTTTTATGGCATAGTTAAAATAAGCAGCCCCTAAACTAGTGTTGGTAAGTATCTAGGCCCCTAGATTAAGAGCCCTAATAAGAATTAAGGTATATTCGCTTAGGGATACAGTCTTGCCTAGTCGAATACAATTCTTGAGCAGCAATGAGGGGCCTCCACCCGGAAATCAAGCTTTCTCAGTGATGTCCTGCACGGATTCGTAAAAGCCCATGGTCAAGCAGTACAAACCGAGCAGGACGATCAATGCATGTGCGAATCGGCGCACCCAACTGGACATGCGCGCGCCGTGCTTCTTGCGAATTTTGTAACTGAGGAAGATGGGCAGGAAGCACTGCAATATTGGGCCGCATACCTTGGACTTAATGTATATCGGAGTTGGTGGTTCATTCACCAGGCTGCTTTGCAAACCCACCCAAAGTTTGCGGGCCTGGGATTTAGGGCTGCTTTAAGCCCCCCAAAGACCTAACGTTATGGGGCTCCTGGTTTGGACTTCCGTAGATAAACCTAAACCCCAACTCCCTCAACCTATGTCCAACCAAAAGGTCAGTAAGGTTCTCTGGGCTCTAAAGGATCGCTAGAACATGCTGTGTCTTGAAGAAGCAACGCCTTCATAATTAGAAGAAGGCTTCCTTTGATTTAAGGCTTCCTTGAAAGGCTTACCATAAGTTACTATGTTAAGGGTGTCTTGATAATTAGGATCTGGCTTTTGGGTGTATTATGGTACTGTGAAGTCTTCCGACCGCTATATGGGAGTTTCCGAAAATAAGGGGTACCCTATTTTGGGGTCCTTACAATAAGGATCCTACTATTTAGGGTACTATATTAAGGTCCACTATTTTCGGAAAGCCCCAGATGTACCCTAAACCCTAAGCCCTAAAACCCTAAACCCCTGAGCCCTAAACCCCTAAACCCTAAATCCTAAAACCCTAAAAACCCTAAAACACTAAACGCTAAACCCTAAACCCTAAACCCTAAACTCTAAAACCCTAAACCCCTAAACCCTTTTTGAAATCAACTCCGAGGCCGAAGATGCCGAGGCGACCAGAGAGAAAAGCTTGTTGAATTGGGTCACCACCAGGCCGATGACTACGGCGATCACAACCTTAAGGGTTTAGGGTTCAGGGTTTTAGGCTTTAGGGTTTAGGGTTTAGGGGTGCCCCAGTAGCCCCTAAATAATAAGGGCACCCTTTTTCCTAATATTTGGTTTTAATAAGGGAACCTAAAAACAAGGCCAAAAGGGTACCTAGCAACAACAACGACCCGCATGATCTTGTTAGCAACGCTCTCAGCTGGGAAGTAGTCTTTCGTTCCCTCGTATGTTTGGAGGGAGTAGTAGATCACCATCATGTTCCTTAGTCCATCGGCAATGATGGAAGAAACCGCGGTTCATCCCTGCATGGCGACCGTGAGTGAGTCTTTTGCCAGACTTGTTCAAGAATTTCAGAACCTTCGACTCACAATCTCAACTTAAACTTACAGTCTTTGAAGATCACCTACCTTTGGGCGTACAGGAGAACGAAGCTTAATGTGTTGCACTGCGGTGCGGAAGTTGAAGTCTTCATACACTCAATGCCAAGTCTCAGAGGCAAGCCGATAATGAGCCTTGGTAGGTTTTGTGTATGATTAGCCTCCAACGGCGCACTACTAAAGTTAGACCGGGTTTAAGGTTTAGGGCTATACCAAAACTGCTATGAAGGACGGTAACCCCAAACCCTAAACCCTAAACCCAAAACCAACCCTAAACCCTAAGAATTCCCGAGCCGCTTGATGAGCAACAGAGTGGCGCAAACGCCCCTGAGAACCAGTGCCTTCGGTCCAGTCCAGTTGTCAAACTTCACATCCAGGGCCTCCGGCGAGTCCCAAAAAAGGGTCCAAGTACTAAGATGGTAGCTGCCTTGTAGGTATTTGGGCCCCCCAAAGTATATACCATACTATAACTTGGACCCTTTGGGTTCTTAGTTCTACTGCACGTGGGATTTACGGTTTAGGGCTAGGGCTCGAGGCCTTCCGGGCTAAAGCCTCATCATGGAACCACTGCATGTTTCTTTCGCTTAGAAGTTGCTTCGGGCTGCTACTTTGTCCCTAGCGCCCGGAGGGCATATGCTTTTTGTTGGCTCTTTACCTCCATGTCTGGAAGTTGGGGATGCGGGCTTCAGGTTCGTTACATTTCCTGCTGCAGCAGGGTTTAGGGTTTAGGGTTTAGGGTCGAACTAATGATGGCAGATATGAGATCAGATCACATGGGCTTCGAAGTGCTCCAGAGACTCGCAAGCCTGGCAAGTCCTACTCGGCCCAGGCTATCTTAAGCCAAACTCCTGATTTCCACTTCCTCGGATCGCAGATATCCCGATATTTGCCTGCTGGATGGGGCTCTGCTGGTTCACTGCGTCATTACTCCAGACAGCTTTTTCTAGCTTGGCACGGTGTATGCAGATGGGAGAAAAACTGGTGACAAATAACTCGGATGTTTAGTGGTTCGAGGCTTCATCCAAAAAGGGTTTCTACAGTTGAAACTACTTTTACTACTTCTCCATGCTCTAATCCGCGTCTCTGAGCCCTAAACCGCTACCCCACACCACTGCGAGTCTTGACATCCGGTCCTGCTCTTCGGTAGCTGGGAAAGAGCTCAATGACTTTACGATGTCGGGCTGCATGAAGTCGCCGTAGCCGTAGTATCCGCAGCACATCACAGCTAAGTAAACAAGAAGAACTATTGTCATCGCCTTGTCGTGGGGAAATCATTGGAATCAGACTTGCAACGAGGGAGATACAGAGGCAGACGCAGAGCGGAAGCGAGAGAACACAGAAACAATCAAAAAATGGTTTCCGGGTCTTGAGCTTTGGGTTTGGAGTTGAGGGATTCGTGTGTGTAAGGCTTCAGGGTTATGCCTGAGAAGCGACATGCTGTAACGACTACTCTACAGCCCAAGCCCTAAAGAACAGAACATCACCAAGCACTTGCTTGCGATAGCTAGGCTCCCAAAAAACACACCAAAATCCGAACGAGCTGCGGTCTTGTAAGCAAATGGAAACTCCATTGGGTCCTTCATCTCACACAGGATCCTAGGTTGGTCCTTTAACGCCTCCAAGAATATTTGTAAATAAAGTATTCTCATAATAACCCTAAACCCTAAACCCTAAATCATAAGGGAACAAACATATAAAACAAAACTCTACCAAAGGCCTCCCTCGGATCGAGGGCACATTGCCGTTCACCCCAAAAGCCCCAAACATGCTCGCGACGACCGTACCCATGGCCATGGGGTCCTGCGGCCAATCTCTGGTTTAGGGTTTAGAGTTTACAGGGTTGGTCATAAAGGACTTAGAGTTTATAAGGGTTTATAGTGTAGGGCTTAGGGTCTTTATGGTTTAGCGTTTAGGGCTTATTATATGGGTTTAGGGGTCAGGGTCCTGCGGCCAATCTGTGTGCAGCGTCCCCGGATCGGGCCATTCTTGCCAGCGCTGAGCATCCAAGCACGACTTTGAGATGATCACCTTAGAGTTGAAGGGTTTAGGGTTTAGGGTTTAGGGTTTAGCGTTTAGAGTTTAGGGTTTAGGGTTTAGAGTTTTTGGGTTTCCGGTTTTTAAGGTTTAGGGTTTAGGGTTTTTGAAGCCCAAAAGTCGGAAACCCAATAGCCTCAATCCTTCATACTAATGTACCCAAAGGGTCTAAGTACCCATATAGTAGGTATTTTGGGCCCCAAAGTATCTACCATATTAGTACTTAGACCCTTTGGGGTATAGGGAATTCCAGCACTATTTGGCCTTGATCCGGTCTTCCAAGTTTACTATACTGGTGGGAGAGTGGATCGCTGTGATGGTCCCCATAGCGTCCCCTTAGAGTAGTCCTTATCTTCCTTCCTCCACTCTTAATCGCAAGTAAGTCGCGCTGACGAGGATGAGGATGCAAAGTACGGCCACGGGGGTCATCTTAGCAACTGCAGTGACATTTGGTAGCTGCGACATGAGGATCATCACAGGGGCAAAGGCAAGCAACCACTCCTTCTTGCTGATGTGCCCAAAGAGGTTCTCCAACTCCTCAGAAATCAGCACGCCAAAGCTCGCCACGACGCCCAGGAAGTAGAGCATCATCATGAGCAGGACGAGAGCCTCACCTTCATATTGTTGATGGACAAAATTCTGCATGACCCAAATATAGTATAGTACCATAAATCCCATAGTTTAGGTATATAAGGTCATGTAGGATTTTGTCCATCAATCGTAGGGCCGTAGGATGTTATGCACATGCTGTTTAACGCAGCTAGGTAAAGTACACAACAAGGCTCCTTAACCCGAGGCGCCTGTCTTTCCAAAGGCAGCTTTCCCGAAGTCTTCATATGAAACGATGGCCTTGGTAGCAAGATCCTTAGCGTCGGCGTGATTACCAGCCATGACGCCCTTCCACATGGCAATGCCGGACTCCGTGATGGCCAGGTAGCATGCAAGCATTGACAAGATTGACCTGAGACTTCACTTGCCGGAACCCAAGGGCTGGTATGTAATCCAGGCATCTTAAAACAAAGAACAGGGTGCTGGGGAATGTATTACAACTTATGCGGGGACTATGAGGGGACATTGCGACTTGTTATGATCCCCTGTATTCTTCAGTAGAAATTCGCCAAAGTAAAACCCTAAACCCTAAACCCTAAAACCCTTGCAAGATAAGATAACCCCAGCACAGACCGGGGACATGAACCAGCCGCCCTTCACAGGCAGCTGTGGCAACGCCATAACTCCCACTCCAATAACCTTGCTTGCTCTAGGGTTTAGGGTTTTGGGTTTAGGGTTTAGGGTTCAGGTGGGGAGTTTAGGGTATATAGGGCTTCTATAAGGCTTTGTTGAATCCAAAGTCCGAAGACTGA